AAATGTATTACAGTAAGTGAAAGATTGTGTCTTTTCACTTTTAAAGGTAGTTATCCTTATTTGTAGACCATGAAAATGGGAATTCATGAATTACGTGTCCGTTATTTTAATATAATTGTGCCTATTGATTTTCGAGAAAAAAATTAGTAAAGTAGTGTAATTGTCATCATTTTGGTATTAAAGTTATGAATTTATTCATGTTGTAACTATCGTCCATTTATTTAGAATATGATGAAAAAGAATTTATTGCAATTATTATCACATTGCATGGCCGCCAGTAACTTAAATGTATGTGACTCTTCAATTTTAAATGCAAAACAAAATGAAAACGGTGGACAAATACATGTAACTTTTCATTTTAGATGCAATGAAAAACAATTTGTGGTGGCTTTTGATTAAATTTTCATTGGAATAAAATACAAAAACGGATATGGAATGTGACATTATAATATCATTTGTATAAACGTGAATTCCAAATAGTGAATTCATTTGATGAATCCATACAAGAATTTGGATTTCGGATAGACTTTTGGTTAGTATATGTAAATTCGATGTATGCATATACAGTAAGCTGCAAATACGGTAAGCAGCAAAAACAGTATGCTGTAAATAAGGTTAGCAGCAAATACGGTAAGATGCAAATACGGTAGGTCGCATGTACAGTAAGTTGCATATACGGTATGCGTCAATTCGGTAAGTGACATATACGGTATGAAGTTGTAAATCCGGTATATGTCCATAGATTTTGGTTTGAAAATTATACAAATCTTGATTAATGATGATAGCCTCAATTAATTCTATGAAATTAAATGAGATGACATATGCAAAATTATAGTTGCATAAGAGTATGACAAAATGTGATTTTGTCCTAATTATTTTAAAGTGGAAATTGCTTGCCTAATTATTGGGATATGAAAATATTTTATAGAGCACAAATTGTATCTATAGTTGGCGGTGGTGTCGGATATCCTTAAAAATAATGATTGTAAAATGACATTCATTTGTAAAGGATAAAAACTATGTTATGCAAAAATTGTGAAGAATATTATGAAATATTCTAGGAATAATTCCAAGAAGTATGTCCTTTTGTAAGGTTGTGACTTTAAAAGCACAACTTGTCAATCTATGGTCAATTTATTCTTTCAAATGTGAATATAGAGGACAAGGTAAGTCTATGCCTTATTGTTTGATGTGAATATTATTATATGTGAAATGTCACAAATGTGAAAGTTGCACATGTCTGAAGATGTTTAGTCTTCTTCATTGTTGAATTTGACTTTAATCATGGAATCAATTAAATTGGTATATGCTTTGAAAGCGTTGTTGGTCTATGTAATGACCTTGATTAATTGGGAAGATCCAATTAATATAATTGATTGAAGTATAATTTCGAATGGAAAATGTTTTTTCATTCATGTAAAGCAACGAATACTATTTTGAAAGTACTTAGACTTTCAGCAAGCATCCGATAGGGAAATTATCTAAGTGACAAATGGATTGAATTATGAAAGAGTTGATAAACTCAAAATTCAAGAATTATCCAAAAATGTGGAGGTTATCATAAATGTTTGAGAACTTATGTGAAAAGTTCAAGTCGTATGGGTACAACGCTGCTACTTGGATATATAACCCTAATTTAGGAATTGTGGGGGTAATTTAGTTTAAAGTTACATTTTCCTGTACCTCTCAAGAAAATGGAAGAGACGCCATATGAGTTATAAAAATAGCATCATCCTTCCTACCAACACTTAAAAGTGTGGGGTGTTTGGCAAAGGTTGAGGTTCTCAATCCTAAACAAATAAAGATTTGTCTCAAAACGATTGATTGTATATTTATTGACTATGCCAAAAATAGTAGTGCATATCATTTCCTTGTACACAAATTCGATGTACACGAAATGCATTTCCTTGCAAGACAAGTAAATTGTAAGTTTGAATAAAAGAACATATGAAACTACAAATGGGTCTTCAAATGAGGAAAAATCAAGGAGTAGTAAGAGGGCTAGAACGTTCACTTTGTTTGGTCCAAATTTTCTAACATATATTGTAGAAAATGACCCAAAGACTTCTGAAGAATCAATGTCTATTCTGGAAGCACCGCTTTGGAAGGAAGATATCAATATTGAGATAGATTCCATAATGCAAATTCATTCATACATGGGAATAAACCTTAGGGTATAAATGGATTAAAACTTAATGGATTCATTGACAAAAATATAAGGTTGGATTGGTTGCCAAATGATATAAGCAGGAAGAATGATTTAACTTCTTTACCTACTCACCCATGACTAAAATCACTTCGATAAAGTTACTAATTGCAACTGTGGCAATACATAACCTTGAGATTCACCAAATGGATGTGAAATCGAAATTCCTAAACGATGAGTTAGAAGAAGAGATATACATGGAGCAACCTGAAGGTGTTTCCAAGTGAAAGCCATAAGTTTGTAATCTTGTTAAATCCTTATATGGATTGAAACAAGCTCCTAAGCAATGTCACCAAAAGTTTGACAAAACGATGTTGTCAAATGAGTTCAAAATAAATGAATGTGATAAGTGTGTATATGTGAAAAATATATCAGATGCCTATGTGATTGTGTGTCTATATATAGACAATATGTTGGTGATGGGCAATAGTCACAAAAAGTGTGTATACGTGAAAAATACACTAGATGCCTATGTGATTGTGTGTCTATATGTAGACAATATGTTGGTGATGGGGGCAATAGTCACAATGTGGTGCTAAACGCCAAAAAAATGCTATTGACACGAGTCTGCACTTGGTCAAAATAAGGGTGAGAGTGTGTCACAACTGAGATATTCACAAGTAATTGGCATTATAATGTATATTAAGAACTGTACTCGATCAGATAATGTTTTTGCTGTGAATAAACTTAGTAGACTCACAAGTAATCCAGGCCATGATTATTGGGTGGCATTGATAGAGGTCCTTAGGTATTTGAAATATACCATGACCTATGGATTACATTTCACAAGATATCCTGTGGTATTGAAATGATATTGTGATGCGATGGTATACACTAAGTCTATGGATGAAAATGGATGAAAGCTGATCATGACAGTTATTTGGATATATAAGAACAATTGGAATATTAGAGAATATTCATAAAGTTCAAATGCATTGTAATGCTTTAATGATGATATTGAATACCCATGTATAAAATCCACTGATAAATATGATAGACCAATGTAATGATTTGATAGAAGTCCTCCAACATTGTTTGGAATTGATAAAGCTAATGAGAAGCATGTAGTTTCATGAGAGGATTTCTTAGTTGGTGACAATGTGTATCTATCAAATGAATCGATCATTGGCTAACTAAATTTGAAAAGATACTAAGTCACATGTAATGGTAAGTCTAAACATGTACATCGTAGACATAATATCATAAGCAGTTAATTTCATTGCTGTAAACTTGTGAATCCATTTATATATGTTTATCAAGAGATCAAGCATACTACATAACGAAGGGAATGAGATTAAGCCTACTGAGTAAGAGTCCTTATGATAGTAACCCTACCATGTTGACTAGAGATCCCAAGATCTTGGTTCAAAGGGACAACTATGTTATGAGGATTCTGTGAAGCACTTAGGAAACTAATTTCCTAGCTCATTCCTATGATACCAAAGTGCTTTCTGTAAAGTGGTTGGAGGTTAAGATAAACTTTTAATGATTCCTCTATATTGATTAAGTCGAGTAAAGTAGGGCATAATACTCTTAATAGGAGATCACCTATGTAAGTGTGAAGTGGAGCCGCTTCAATGAGAATTATTCAAGGCTTGAATTTTCTAAACATTTGCAGAACCAAGATCGGTTCAGGGCTAAAATGAACTAAGTCATGATAACCAGGAACGGTTTACGGGAGACATTGTGTTAGTACCGTTGTCTTAGTTTACACTAACGGCTGATGGTTCAAGAACATCGCGTTCACCAATTAGCTAGTAAATCCGATAGTATTTCACTAAGGAAGGTTTAAAGCCAAAAGTTACCTTACTTGACGCAGTGTTTTTCCGCTCTTTCTCTACCAATGTCTACATAGACATTTGCATTAATTTTCATTTATGTGGGGGATTGTTGAAATTTTGTATTGACCAATTTTCCATGATTATTTAAGTGGAATTCTTAATTTGGTGAATGAGAAATTAAGTCAAAGACTCTTGGTATGTGTATGATTAATTTTCAATAATTGTGTCTCTTAATGTATAAAAATAAATTTTAAGAGATATGTCTCTTGGTATGGTTGTGTCTTTTGGCATACCTTTCCAACTACTATATATAGACCCTATGTGTTTGGATTTTATCAACAAAGAAGAAAAGAAAAGAAATTCAAGTTATAATTCCATATCATTCCATTTCATGTTACACTTTGATTTTGCATAAAACATTTGCATCAAAGTCATGATTATAGTAGAGAGAGAACTTCGTTCGAGTTCGTTGGTATAAGCCATTTGGAGTGCTCTTATGACTAGATGTGGTCATAGTATCTTGAGAAATGATTGTCGAAAAACCGTTAGCACCGATGCATGGCAAATTTATTTTAAGGACAAAGTGTCTAACACTTGCCTCAGTCAATCGCATCACTCGCATCTCACATTGATTCTTTCTGATTTCTTTCTTCGTAATTACTTTCAAAAAATTAATAATATTCGTTTGATTTCATGTAGGTTTGAAATAAAGAATGGAAATGATTGACTCTGTCATTTTATCTTCCCAAGTCCATTTCGGTAAGACGAAATAGCGTTTCAATTTCGTGAACATAAATGTTATGTTTTGTGAATATAATATGCACAATATCGGTGTAATTTTCCAACACTCGCGTGGTGGGCCGAGCCGAGCCCTTCAGTGTTGCGACACGGCTTGGCCAATTAACACCCCCATTCAGCATTGATGGAGCCCAATGAAAAATTTATTATTGAATCTGTTTTTCATTTTTAACACAGACACAATGATAAATGAATAGATTACTACCAGAGATGGATGAGAGAAAAACCAAGAAAATGCTTTAACTTCATATTATCTAAGAAGAAACTCCAATTTAAAATGCATATACATCACTGTTTCACTTACAAAACTACTATCTATCTTTACAAAAAATCAAAACCATCTGATGGATCTCCCAACATTATTTTTAAATAGATATGTTAAGATCAATTTGAGGTTTCTTGACTGCCACGGGTGATGGAACAATACTGTTGCATCGTGGGCATTTTGGGTTGCTCTTTGATATTAGCACATAAAGCAGACAACTGGGACAGCCAGCAGCTAACGAGCCCGATGACTTCTCTTCATAATCAATATCACTATCTTTAACCGAGGATGAAGAATTTGAAGGTGGTGATGATGATGTCGACATTGATATTGAGCGTTTCCTAAACGTTTCTTTCTCTGCCCTCTCAAGGGCGGATTTTACTTTGTCTAGAGTGCACACACTTTGATAATTGGATGATGAAGGCGATGAGGTAGATGATGGAACCAGCTTCAAGTCTAAACCAGCATCATCAAAAAGATTCAATGGTTCATTTGATGCCGGAGGGAAGTTGAGATCCTGAAAGTTTACAACAGATTTTGCCTTTTGCTGCTTATTCTCTGAAGTCGACGAGGATGAGTTTGAAGAGTTACATCTCTGGATATAAACTTTCCCCGACTGAAATCAAGAATAACACATCAGTTGGAGAACTTATTGCTTACACAAATGACTGCCTATTTTACATCGAAGCACAAATAAAAAATTCATTTTGAAACTAACACTTCCGCTTGCTGTCAAAATGAGTAACTAGCATATTTCCAACTGTCGACGGATTAAAAATGATTTATTTATGAACATTTTTAGCTCAGCAAAACATGCCTAGCAAGAATCCATTGATTAATACTCTGGTATTCGTGTACCAAATGAAACATTAAGTTGCTGTAAAATTTCATGTGGATTTTTCTTATCCAAATCAACGAACAAGAAGATTGTATAAACCAATTGTATTACAGCTTTCAACAGTGGATAGAAATAGCTGATATCCTCTAAAAGTAACTGATAAAAATATTAATTACTTGCTCTGAAATATTCAAATATGGATCTCATATCAATCGAAATAAATTCACGGAAATGAAATTAATCCACTAATTAATTACAACGCAAATGAATTGAAACTCTGATTAAATGAGCATACATAAAAATGTATAGCAAGTGCAAAAAAATAGCAGAGAAACAAAATTCAATATAATATTATGAATAAGTCAATTCTCTCCCAAAAAGCTTGGCTAGAGGGAGATGTGCAATTAACCCGTTCATCATCAAAATTAGGACGGAGAATCACGAACAAACACTGTTCGATTGGACCATAGCTCGATAAGTTTTAGGGGTTAGGCTCGCATCAACAACAACAATATGAAAAATTCAATACTGGATCGCACAAGAAAACAATGAACCAAT